TGCTGCTGCTGCTACTGTTGCTGCTGCTGCTGCTGCTGCTGCTGCCGCTACTGCTGCTGCTGCTACTGCTACTGCTGTTTCTGCTGCTGCTGCTGCTGCTGCTGCTGCGGCTGCGGCTGCGGCTGCTGCTACTACTACTGCTGCTACTGCTGCTGCTACTACTACAGTACTACGACTACTACTGACGAGGACGGCGGTCATGATAAAGGCCCTTTCCCCCACCCTCCCAACCAGAACCAGAGATACTACAACATGACATAATGTGACATACATACTATACTGTACTATTATACCATACTATACTATAGTATACTATACTATACTATACTATACTATGCTATGCTATACTATACTATACTATACTTTACTATACTATACTATACTATACTATACTACAAAGATCATCAGCAGCATTGACTGCGAGTCGAGGCTCAATGGGACAAGTAGACGGGGCTGGAGAAGCTGGAGTTCCCGCCCACTTGGAGAGCACCAGCGCGACTCCCAGCCGTGCAGTTCACGAAAGAAAGACGACTCGACGTCGCTGACGCTGAGTTCCTTAGGTCTCATGTTATAGTCTGTGCTAGTATACGACCGTCTCTTATAGTACGTTATAGTATGCATCAAGCCGTTCAAGGCTTGGGTGAACACAAGCCGACCATGCCAAAGCTCTCGTTGAATCCCTGGTACTGCACAAAGACAGCCCCACCTTCTCGCTTGGCACCTCAGAACTCATGTCGTGACTCGCAATCTACACTCGCAATACAATGCCACAACTCAACTGCAATTAGAAAGAGCCGCCGGGCGGCGACACTGCCTGAAAGACATGCTGCCCTTCAACTGCACTCCTTCGTAGTGCACATAGATGGCGCCACCGCTCATTTCAGCCGAACAGTTGTCCTCAGAAAGCTTGGACTTTGGCCTGCACGGGCCTGCAGGCCCTGAAAGCAACAAGTTTCGAGCGTTAGTGCTTGGGGCTCAGAGTTTTGCCGGGCTGCGAAGATTCTTTGGCCTCCAGCCATCCTTAAGCCTTTTTTATCGACCTTGATGCCACCACCCTTCTTTTCGCAAGAGCAGTCCTGAAACCTTCGGAAATCAGGGAATCAACTTCAGATGCGAATCGCGGGATTCGTAGCAGGAGGATGACACAACTGGTACTACCAGCACAACCACTTCCACCTTCCTCCGCCACCACACCAGCACGTCAACTTGACTAACCCCACCTTTACTGCTTCTGTTTCTGCCTGGCACTATTCCTGAAGACTTTCCACTGCTCGAAACAGCTGGTAGAGTGGCAGATGAAGTACGTGCCTCATCGAGCCAGCAATTTGACGGAGGCCTCCCCTTGCATGGAGCCCACCCCCGTCGTCGCCGGAGTGGCAGGACGTTGCAGTCAGATTGCCCGAGAGCTCGAAGTCATCCTTCACATGCAAGCCGCCACCGTGAGAAACTTCCGTAGAGCAGTTCTCGAAGAGCATCGAACCTCAAGATGAAGCGGGCCCCATCAGATCTCCTACACGACCCCCTTTTTCCGCAATCCTGAGCCCGCGGAGCCCGCCTTGAACCTTTGCGCGCCCGGCGACGGCTGCACCGCCGCCACGCCCGGCAGCCGCGCAGTTGCGGAAGGACATTGCCGCTGGGCCAGACTGGAGCAATCTGATGGATTCCAAGGGCTGGTTGCGCACCAAGAACGAATTTGGGTGAAAGAGGCTGTTCACCCATGCCGACACAAAGGGCTTTGAGCTGTGTCTCGCTGCAAGTAGCCCCCCACCATGGAAATTGGTGCTACAGTCTTCGAACCTCATCCAGCCGGCCTTCTGCAACAGAATCTCGCCTACGAACAATCCGCCGCCGCCATACTTATACTCGTCTTCGTTTGTTTTCAACGCTCGTTCCTTTGTCAATTCTCCATAGGCCGCGGCCGCGGTATCATCTCCGACAGAACTGCAATTTGCAAAGAAGACCGAACCAGCCAGCTGCGTGTAGTTTTCCGCAACATAAACGGCACCCCCTGACTTTTGCGAGCTGC